CTTGGTAGCAGCGGTGACTTCTCGAATTCCTTCTCCAATTTGTCCATGTATACATTTTCCAAAAAAAGTAAGAGTGGGGACTCCATCTGTAGTCCAAATATTTGTCCATAGATATTCTCGTTGAATGGAAAATATGTGGTACTTACTGTCAGGTTGATTAGTCATGTTAACAACTCCATCTTGGTCTTCATACCTTTGATAAATAATGTATGTTGAGCTTACTTACATTTCGAGTGAAAGTGTTTGGTGAAGAGATTCTAAGTTCGATCCCTCTAGAAGACTAAGGCGGATTCCTCTTGACTAGCTGTCGATTGGCTTTACTGCAGCATTCTTGTTGACGCTGTTTCCGAGGTACTATCTTTTGATTTCGGTGAAAAACTGCAAACTTTACTCATACGACTAACGAAAGCTTAGCACTTTTTCGTCGGAATTAAAGAAGATTGCTTCGCAGACAACGTCAACAAGAATGTTGCAGTAAAGCCAATCGACGTCTGGTCAAGAAGAATCCGTCGTCTCCTTCGAATCTTTTCATCAAATACTTTTACTCGAAATGGAAGTGAGCTCAATAATTATGAAAAAAAAGATTCTTAGACGGATAGATTTTCCTAATCAGTGCATAGTATGACATGAACTTGCCTATGCTCTTCACCCACATTGAAATTAGTTAAAATAATAGGATTGATTTATCTTAACTGGACTACCTATGCCAGCTTGGATGAAAATAATGAAATCAGTGAAGGGAGGTGGAATCTGATTCGCTTGACAGACCACCTAATTCCAGTGACATATTTCGATGGATAATTTAAGATGAGGTTGAGTGAAAGATTTTCTATTTTTAGTTTGTTAACTTCATGAATTTATTAATATATTTTAGCACAATTGATTGAAATCAGATCCTATATTTATTAACAATTGAGTCAACCGCGGTAGCAATAGTGCATCAGAGCCTCAATTTCGTCGCTGTTAACATCTGTCAGGCCCAAACGGTTATTTGTCTTGGTACTCACTTCGCCAAAATTGGGTCATGTCCCTTCTGATGCATTGCCGTCATGGCCTCGCAGCGTATGGACCAGTATTCATGTTAGATTATAGATGGTGGCCATAAGTGAGGTAGGATAGGTCCTTTACCATGACAGCCGTGCAAACTAACCTAATATGACTTTCACTGTTTTTCTATCTCTTCAAAAATGTCACACTTCTCTTTAACATGCCGAGTAGACTGACAATTTTAAGGAAGAGCCTCCAGCTCCGATACCCAACAATCCGGATTCATTGGATTCTGCAAAGGTCATTTTGCCGCTCCCTTCTCACTCGATTTCGAATGCCAACTCTAAAGCTACAGTGTTTTTCTCAAACACTCCTTCAAAACAGATTATTTCTCCTCAAGATGGATTACCCGATGATCCTGGGCTTATCAGATCATTAGGCAAAAGGTTTGGCCTCATTCGATTAGAGGCGCATCAGCTAATCGGTGCATCATTGCTCTCTGGCTTTTTGCTGATGCTCTGCGTCGAACAGTCGGGTACAATATGGCTCCTCTTTTTTCTTGACCGTCTGGGCCTCGCCTTAGCCTGGCTGTGCTTCAGATTCACTGGAAGTTGTCTCAGTCTTTTGAGGCGTCGTCAGAGTAAGAGCGATTTACTTTTATAATCTATCTTTTATTTATGATTATGCATATACCATTAGTTTTTGAGTGAATTTATGGCATGGCGTATGAAAACGAAAGCGAGCTTCCTATCTAGTAAAGGGTCATTTTATTAGATTTTATCTAATTCCACGAGACTTTTGAACTGCCTTAGGAGTGTGCCAAAGTTTCCGATGATATACGCTTATATTACATGATTATTACCTACAAGA